TTAGCTCTAAATCACAGGATCCCCTCTGCACCAAACTGTGTGCACCATCAGAGACCTGCTCAACATGTTTGTGTAGTAGTTTGACAGGATCACTTTAGCCCCCTGTCCACTGATACGTCCATCTGTCTGTTCACCTCCTGAGATGATTAAATACTGAAGGTCTGATGATTCCAACAGAACTTCAACTGTTGGTCACTGCTGAATGGTGACGGGACATCAGTGACGGTTGGTGTTGAGTTCTATCTCGTCTTTACCTGGTTGTAAGCCTTATTGTTAATTTCTGCATGCACAATCTGCAGGTAGCATCTCCTCTGAAACCGTTCACTATCAGGTGTGACCTAACTGTCCAACGTGTTGAGGCTATTTATACCAATATGTACGAGAAAGGAGTAGGGCCACTGCAAAGACGATAATAATTCTGACTTTATTTTTACAGTTGTGAGATTAAAGTCTTAATTCTTTTTGGGGATTTTTGCCTTAACCGTCTTTTGTACATATGTCAATATTCAGAAAATTCACATACTGAAAATAAAAACTGGTTTTCGGTATGAACTGGTATAACACCTGGCCCTAAGTTGTCTCCTAGCAGAAACAGTTCAGAGGTTTGGATCCCAGAAAACATGCAGGCAAAGAAGAGGAACTTTTCTGAAAATGCGTTTTTCAGTTGTCGTATCTTTATAGAAAGGGTTGAAAACCACAGATGAAATTGTACACTTCCAGTCTGGGAAAGTTCCTTCTTTTGTTGCAGTAGTTTTTATAAACAACAGACCCCTTTGGTCTCCAGTCAGATGGCTGATTTTTCTGATTTCCACTGGATCACTGCTCCTGTTACAGTGAAACCTTGAATCTGTGCCACTAATCCTCTGAACTTAAATACAAGAGGCACATCGTCCCATCCTGACCTAATCTTGTGCTCTCTTTATATAATCTCACCTCAGATTAAAGCCGTTACAGCACAGTCTGTACTTCTCAGAAACAGCCTCTGCCCTTGTTAGAAAAGTTAAAATCAGGCAGATGATCTGTTCACAAATACTCACACTAATGCTGATCAAATGTTCCTAAAGCTTTTCCCTGGGCTTCTCAGTTCACTGACCTCTCAGATAAAATCTGACCACGACATTATAACATCTCACATATGATCCCCACGTTTAAAGAAAACACAACTCATAATGCTGACCATCTTTTTATAGACCACAATGAAAACAGCCGAAGGCTCTAGAAATGTAATCAAACTAACAGAAAGTCTGTCAAAATAAAACTGAAATAATACAAGAGATGTTGAGAAGAACAACAAAGCAAAACCATCCATTTCATTTAAAGGTGGCATACAGGTGCTGGTCATAAAATTAGAATATCATGAAAAAGTAGATTTATTTCAGT